TTAGGAACCAATTGCAGTTTCTCAATAATCTTTCAACAATTATTTTTCTTTTTTTTTTTTGCAAGCTTGGAACTTTTCTACAGATCAATAATTGACAATTGACAAAAGGTTAAACAGGGAACAAAAAGCCACTAACAGATGCAATTGATCGGCTCCATGGTTGCAGCAATTCTTCAATTTTTTTTTGTTGGGCATGGTAAGAAAAGAATAAAACTTGTACCTTTAAAACACGCCTTTGAAGGAACAAACCACTTTGTTGTGACCTCTGACCTTCTAATGTACATGTAGGTCTTATTTTGTTTAATTTCAACAATCTAAAGATGATTAAAATGGTCATTTACATACGCACTTGATTCGGGGGTAACATTGATACATGGAAAATAATTCAAGCAAAGAATCCATCAATTGGTTTAATCTTCTATAGATTACTAAACAATATGACCAACTTTTTTACCCCCAATATCTTCCACATATCCATTCAGTGAAATCAGCACATATCCTTGAGAATCATTAGAGGGGTCTAAAAGTTATACATATATATTTTTTTTTTTTAGATAAGAAACAATTTCATTAATAGGTGAAATTACAAAAGGGGAAATAAAATCCCACAAAAGACCAATAGAGTTACAGAAAACACCTCTAATTGGTTAAAAGAGAGGTCAAACTATATGGAGTGAAAATAAGGGGATGATTTACACCAAGACATAGCAGTAAAAAGAATGCTATCAAAAAGAGTGTTGAAAGGTAGCTCTTTATCTAGGAAGAGCCTATGATTCCTTTCATTCCAAATTATCCATAGAAAGGCACGAATGAGATGCTTCCACATAGTCTCCTTTGCTTTCTTTGCTTTCTTGAAAGGGTGTCCCACAAGGACAAGTGAGAGGAGATCGAGTATCTAGGAAGAGCCTATGATTCCTTTCATTCCAAAAAATCCATAGAAAGGCACAAATGAGATGCTTCCACATAGTCTCCTTTGCTTCTTAAAAGTTATACATATTCAAAGATTAGAGAACCTAAAACCAAAATGGGGCATGTGCAGGTTGATACTTGATAGGTTGGCGAACGTTTTTGATGCATCTATGAAGGAAATGAAATTAGATGGCCACTATTATGATAACACTTCATTTCACTCTGACTAGTAAAAAGTACGGTTTAAGGATAGCCTAAAATACAATCTGCTTATTCCTTACATCAACAACAGATCTATTAATTTGCAGGCGGTCGTTTTTAGCAGGTGGTCATTTTTAATTTGCAAGCCCTGAAGAAGTTTTCTACTCGAACCTCTCCACATTCAGTCTTTGTCTTTGGTTTTTACTTTGGCATTAGGATTAGGTTTAGTGGTGTTGCTTTTGCAGTTTGTAGTTTGTGGTTTTGACCATTTGTTCTATTCTCGTGTCTTCTACATGTTTGTTCTTTGTTGGGTGTTTTTTATCTTTGTATCTTCTACATGTTTGTTCTTTGTTCGGTGTTTTTATCTTTTTTTTCGCTCCAGAAGTTTGTATTCTAAACAATTTTCTTCCTTTTCATCTTATCAATGAAAAGTTTGTTTCTTGTTAAAAAAACAAAAGATCTTTTATAAGAATCAGTTTCTTTGATAATGAAATTGGAAAAACAAGAAAAACAGAGAGGAAAAACGTGACACACGTTTAACTAATAATTACAAGCATGCTCTCCTAATCACCAAACTTGGACAATTATCGATCTTTTAATATTCTAAAAAAACCTACACGAGCATAGCTCAACGGTAATTGGCATATATCTTCAACCAAGAGGTCGTGAGTTCAATCACCCACCCCCACATGTTGTACTCAAAATATTCTAAAAATATCTAAAACAGTGCCATTAAAGAAACATGAAGGCAATTTGGTATCCCCTGTAGTGATGATTACATCATTCATTCATTCCACATATATGTGCACTCTTTTATGCACCATATGTTAACTTTTGCAAAAAAAATACCAAACTTATAATAGCAAATTTGGTATTCTAGACCATAAAATCTAGGTATTGAAAATCTACCTTCTCAGTTTCTCAAACTTCGAGGGAAAGTGTGATAATAGAGCCTGCACAAGCAATCCAAATAGTTGATCAATAAACGAACTTAGAATACCATAAAGAAAGTGAAAGGAAACATGAGATAATTACGAGTCGAAACTATTAAACTGGTGGAAGTGTTCAAAATGATAAAAGTAAAACAGGCTTGAAAATATAGTAGTAACCAATTAGTAATAGCCACTTCTCCTTACCCCTTAGCTCATAGCTAATTTGATTTTCTTTTTCTTTATAAGAAACGAGATGATATGAAATATAAAAATAAAAATAAAAAATAAGAAAACAGAGACTAGATTACAAAAAACATTTTAACTTGTCAAGAGATCATTGAGCCTGTAGTTTGTAAAAGGGAAATAAAAATATTTACACCAGCAATGAGCTAAACGAGGTTACTTTGAAAACATAATTATTGCTAATGAGGAATAACCAGTTTTTCCCCATTGCTCCTTTGCTCATAAGTGTTAAATGAGGTTTCTTAGTTCTTTTGGGGCGCATTGAGCTTGAACGATGTCTATCTACCTTGCAACATTTATTGTATCTTCTCTTTGACTAATACAAAATTATGTTTCATGTCACAAAGGTTGAGGATGACGAGGGACATTGAGATAATTTTCAGGGTATTAAATTGTGAGTGTTTTCTATGGTTTTCTTAATTACTCTTTATTTTTTTATTTTTTAATAACTGGGAGTCGAACCTTTGCTTTCCTATACCCAAGGGCACCCACGCCTACTCCAAGACTCGAACTCCGAAGACATCAAAAGTTTTTGGTATTAAACTCACCAGAAGGTTCAAATTTGAGACCTCTAAGCCAATATGATCAAGAGTTCACAAGTCCTTGCCAACTAAGTTGCCCCGGGGCTACTCTTTATATTTTATTCTAACAATTGTAGCTTTTTAAGAAATTTTATTTTTTGTTTTTTGTTTGTAAACTCAACTCCTATGTTTGAGCTATTTTTTGTAGGCACTTTCTTACGTACTTTCTTTCATTTTAATAAAAGCTGGTTTTCTTTATTTAGAAGAGGTTTTACAGGGAGGAAAAGGATGAAAAGCTAATTATCAGTAACCAGAACCACTTGAGAGATATCATGAATCAACTGAAATAATTAGCATAATGACACATATAATCGCAGAGTTCAAATTAATTGTTACTTTCTTAACATGAAAAATGGATTTTACTCAAAAAAGAAAAAACATGAAAAATGGATTTATATATCCATTAAAAAATACCCTCGATAATTTAGGCAATAGCATAAGTATCAGAAAAACCCAGGTAGATATTTACTAGCTTAAAAGGATTAAATGACAGAAGAAGTATCAAGATACCTTATGTGCAGGCGGAAGCTTATTGAATGAACGTTCATATCTTTTCACGTCTTCTTCTGCAGCCTCTGGATAGCTGCATCAAAATTCACGCATTACTGAAACAATATCTAAGATGAGAAGAAGAACAGACAGCAGTCAGACGCTGATGATTATACAACTAGGATAAAAACCTGAAATAAGGAACAAGGAAACTCTGCATTGAGAATATGAAAAGGACAAGCAGGGGAAAATCCCAAGGCAAGGGAAATCAAAAAACAACTGCACTTAGTGTTAATCAATTAGGACAAATTTTATTTTCTTGACAGAGAAAACGCGATGGCTCCCTATGCTCTAATGCATTAACCATTTTTCCTTTTTTAGAAGAAACAAAAATAATATATTGAAGAACATGGTCGTACAAAAAATAAATAAATAAAATCGGTTAAGTTCAAAGACTCTAAGATCGTTATAACAAAGCACCTGCCAATTGGAACAAGAACTAGCCAATACTTTTTCTTCGACAGCTCTGCTCGACTTTAAGCTTCTTCTACTATTTTAATTCAAGTACTCCAATACTAAAGCTGAAATCACATAATTCAAAGCCATACCCAATACACCCTGTAGACCCTTACTCTTTCAATTACCAATATGCGCAGCTATATATGTTTCAAACGGAAGAGACTCGATCATTGATTAACAATCCAGTACATGATCAGCGGAAACCAATAAAAGGGAACGAAAGCAACAGATTAAGAATTGGATAAAGAAGAATAAAGGCGTAAGCGTAAGCATACTTGAGGTATGCACTGATGATACGCCTGAGCGATTTGACTTCGAGGGCTTCTTCAAGCTTCCTCTGACGAGTTCGTTCTTCATCTTCCTCTTCTCTCCCTCCAGACATGTTCCTCCCGGTTCCGCACCGAGAGCTCAGTGGTGTGAGTCAAAAATGGCGACACTGCAGAGACCTAAACGGATGAGCGAGAAGAAGACAGGCAGGTCACGGGGCGGGCTATTGACAATTGTTATTTATACCTAAATTTAAGGTGCGGTTGGTTTTTTTTCTTTTTACTTTTTTATTCTTTTTTTTTAGGTATATAAAATAAATTTATGTCAAGATAAATTAGATTTTGTAAATTGGGAAATTGGCGCCAACTTCACTTGCATAGATTTTTTTTCTCTCTTTTTAGTTTTAACTATAAAATTTATTGGTCTAGTTACTAATTTAAGAAGGGTAAAAAGCTGGATGAGCTTAGAGTTTGGGTGTTCAAAAATATTTATTCGAAAAATTAAACCTATTTGGGTTGGGTTGAATGGAGATTGGGTTCAAAAAAATAAATTTAGTTGAATCATATCAAATTTTATTATTAATTTTAAAACTATTTCTTTTACTTAATATATAATTATTTATTTTAATTTTGTTTTTTTATGAATTATGTATTTTATAATTCTTTAACATATAAATAAACATTTACTTCCACGCCTCACATGTTATACTAAAATAATAATAATAAAAAAAATAAACATTGACTTATAGATATTAACTGATATTGAGTCAATGTTAACAAAAATAGGTAAAAAAATGTTCCAGATATTAGCATTTTCCTTTATTATACAATATTTGAAATGAATGACCCACATGATATAAACCAATCAAACTAAAATATTTCAGGTTTGAATTGAGTTAATTATTTGATAAGGATTGTTTCGATTGAATAAGTTTACGCAAACAATTGAGTTTAATCTAAAAATTACGTCAACCCACCACCCGAGTTTAGAGTTATACTCGTTCCAATGGAGTTTGATTCAAAACAACAAAAATAAATAAATTTTGGTTGGAGATGAAAAATCGCAAGCTTATTGGACGTTGCAGTAGTAAAATTAATCCATGCATGAGTTGCTGCATTATTAAATAGGTGATGGATGTCATTCAAACTACCATTTTCAAAACTAAGAGAATGCATTAAACAAAACTCTTCCCAAAACGAAGGCTTAAAATACATAAAAAAAAGACACCAACTGAAATGAAAATTCTGTTAGAGATGCTATACAAAATCTTATGAAAGGTTTCTATGGCAGTGAATGAGAACTAAAACACAAAAATATGAAGACAGGAAAAATCAGAAGAAAAGGAAATTAATCTTCTTGCTTGCTAAGATAGAATGGCAAAAGCTCATATTTTCAGAGTTGATGTACAATAAACTCCAAAACCTATGTAGTGATGGTGCTTAGTTTTATGCATATAAAACAGTCTCCATTGCTAGATCCACACCATATTGCCCCGATCAGACTCTTCCTCGAATAATCCTGAGTTACTTACACCTTTTCCATTGAACCAACACTGACCCGATCGGGCTCTCACTCGACTCTCTACAATAGATTGCTTTGAATCACAGATACAAGTTACAAGTAGAAGCTATCTAGCAAGAGGTGTTACTTCACTCTCTCTAAAATTCCTACTAACTACATTCGATTTTCTCGTATCAGAATCGACATTTTTTCTTTTCCGAGCTTTCTCTAATGCCAAGCACTCACTCAACTCTATAACCACTTCCTTCATGCCTGGCCTCTCACTGGAAGTCTGTGACAAACATGTCATAGCAATCTCCACTGCCTTCCAAGCAGAACTTAAGTCAAAGTTTCCTCTTAGCCTCTGATCTACAATTCTACTTATATCACCTGTTTTCATCAAGTGCATTACCCATTGGCTTATATGGTATTTACTTGAAGAAGCTCTATCGATTAGGAGGACGCCATGGGAAGTGACTATCTCCAATATAAGAGCTCCGAAACTGTAAACATCACTTTTCTCAGTCAATCTGCCAGATGCATAATACCTGTACCCAAGAAGAATATGACTTGCTAAGCAAATGAACGTATAACAAGTTTCATATATTGATTTCTTGAGTCTATTTGGGGTTATTATTAACGCGCGCAAAGTCGAGTCAATCGCCTACTTGTGTGTCAAAAGATTTTTTATTTCACATAAAACTGCCCTTTTGTGTTGTGTGCCTGTGAAGATCAGAGCCTTTGTTGCTACCTATTCCGATAATTTGGGCTACTATAAAATGGAAAACTTACTCAGGATCGAGATATCCTTCGGTACCCGCAACGACAGTTGACAAATGAGTATGACTTTCGGTTGGAAAACTCTTGGATAGACCAAAATCAGCTATTTTGGCTTGAAATTTTTCATTCAAAAGGATGTTTGCAGACTTCACATCTCTGTGAACAATTGGAGGCTTACATCCATGATGCAGATACTCCAATCCTAGATTTTTAAAGCTCATTCAAGTCCAAGAGAAATCAGAAACAATATAGAAAACATTATAATAAACAGCAGAAGCAAGAATTGTGTTCAACCTTGTGCTGCATCAACGGCTACTTGCATCCTTTCCTCCCAACTAAGAACACTATCATTTCCACCTGCATCATTTTAATCTTCTGTTAGACTTCATCAGTCAGTGTTAATGGTAACGGAAATTTAAATGGAAAAAAAAAAAGGAAAAAAAGTGTTTTTGCTAGAAATTGAAACAGCAGCAGCAACCTGATAGATTTTCTTTTAAGTTTCCTTTATTTATGTACTCATAGATAAGAACCAGGTTGGTTTTTTCATAACAGTATCCGATAAGGCTCGTCAAGTTTCTGTGATGAATTCTCAGCAAAAGTTTAACCTGCAATATAAACAAAAGACATAATTGATACTACCATGGACGAGTCGCTGCAGCTTTTTTGTCACAACAAACGATTGGAAACGTAGAAGGCCAAATCAAGGATTGTTCAGTAATTGGAAAAACAAAAATGCAACCATATCAAAGAACACATTTGGAGTTGATAGTGGTATCTATTCTTAACTTCAAATTTCCTTCATTTATGGATAATTGGATAAGAAGTTTCATAATCATGTCTTTTATATTTCGATTGTGTCATTTGAAGTAAAATGTATCCTTTGTTTTGCTCCTCTCATTCACTCAGATCCCTTTTGTTTGGATCCTTCTTGTCTTCCAAAAAAGGGAAGAAGTATCATCTTCAGCCCAGCTCTTGCAATTTCATTATATCCCCAAGTTCATGATACAACTTACAAAAGGAGTACTGCCCTACGAATATTTTGTCGTGTATCCAACAGACACTGCTATCTACCAATAAGCTAAGCAGAGAATTTTGATTAACTTAGTGACCTCCTTGGAAAATATAAGACAGAATTAATTTCTGTTTCTGTTAACCAACTTCAACAAGAATCATCCTGAAAGGGTGAAGAACTAGAAATTAAGGACCTCTTTGGTAACATTTTTGTTTCTTGTTTCTCATTCCCTTTTTTTGTTTCGAATTTTCTTAGAACAATGAACAATAATACATTTGGTAACTTTTTTTTTTTTGTTGAAGAAAAAAATAAATAGAAACAAAAATATGTTTGATAACTATTTTCTATTTTTTGTTTTTATTTTTATTTTTAATTTTTCTTAGTACAACAATTTATAGGAGTGGGGATTCGAACTCACGACCTTTTTATCAAGGATATATGCCTTAATATAGGTTGGCTTATTTTTATTTTTAGTTAAAATAGAATTTAGTAGATATAATATATACTCGAACAAATTAACACTTGGATAATCAGGATGGTCTTCATGGACACGGGTGATAATAACTTACCTCTGCTTCAAATTCTTTATAACCTTGAACCGAAGCCTTAAGGACCTTCACGGCAACTTGATTGCCATCCAAGTAACCAAGGAACACTTTTGCAAATCCTCCTTCCCCAATTTTTTTCTCGAAGTTGTTTGTAATACGCTGTATTTCAGAGTAAGATAGCTGCTGTTTCGTTGGCTGCAGTGATCCAAGTCTTATGACGGGATGTTGTCGGGCTGTCAATAAGTGAAGCTTTAATAAGCATGATCATGGAAACTTCCTATTACATGAATATAGAAGTATGTCTTGAAACTCACAACTCTTGCACTAGTCTAACCTCGTTTTCTCCATTTCATTATCCAGACAACTGTTGCAGCTAAAACTAAGAGAACCAGCACTGGTGAGACTATTGCTACAACTGGAATAATGTAATTCTTCCTCTTTTTTTGGCAAGGAGATGAAGCACAAAGATTTGGGTTTCCTTCAACCCTTCCATAAAGCAGTTGACAATATCAAGACTATAAGTTATAGTAGTGATAACTGCCACCAATCTCCTTAAACAGCATTATTCCTGTTCTTTGGAGATGTTGTGATTGGTAAAACATATTGCATCTGTCAAAGAAATCTTTTTGTCTTCATACGCAAGAGAATGGATGAAAGATTAACAAAAATGATAGATTGACTAAGAAATGTGATGAAAACAAACCGAAACTATTGAAACTCGTTTAGAAGAGTTTGATTTTTTTTTTAACTTCAAACGAAGACACAAATATGCAATACCTTATTGAAAGGGATCCATTCTTCGATCTTTCCATGAGTTCACCTGGAATAGAACCAACGAGTGTATTGTCCCTCAAGTCTCTGCAGACACATCATCGGTCTATAATTAGTTTTCTTCCTGAATATATTGGACCACTTTCTGAGAAAAATGACTCACAAGACTTTCAAGGAGTGCAACTTGGATAGAAAAACAGGCACCGGTCCAGTCAAGCTATTGTTTGATAAATCCCTGGCATAAGAAGTTCACTTAGACTGCTGTTGTTGTTACAATGAACAGGAGAACCCATTTTAGTTTCATAATCAGAAACCAACAATCGAGAAGTTTACATAACATTCTTGACTTACAAATATTCTAATGACGAGAGCTCAGATACATAAGTAGCTATTTCCCCCACCAATCCGCTCGAAGATAAGTTTCTGTTGAGTTTAAAATGTCTATGAAATGAGATAAATGAGAATGGAGCAAAGAGAGTATTCTTAAAAACTTACAAGGAGGTGATTCAATTAGGACTGTGGTCATCATAGCTACAATTAAGACCGTGCCACAAAAAGGATTTTGGCATGCATGGATCACCCTGCCAATTCTTTCTCACTCCATACAATGATCTGACGTTCATCAGTGCTGTAACTGCAATATTTAAACGTAAGAAAGAAATAGTATGGTTGTATCATTATATAATGATGAAGATTAATAAACTGCTAGCAATTGAGCACATACTATCCTGCTCATCAGTGCGTGATTGTGAAGCATCTAGCATCCTGTAAATTTCAAGAGCATTGAGGATGGGTGGAAGACTAGAAGTATTAGTTTTTAACAATGTAAATTCAATGCTATATCCACTCATTGGGGATCTGCTAGACACTGTAGTTGAATACATGTAATCAGGAGAGAAGGGTCCAAAAAAATAATCCCCATTTTGAAAGATGTTAAACTCTCTCGAACGGTTGGCTTGGGGCTTTTCAAAATCAGAAAAGTGCATGTATACATGATATTTGGCACTGGGATCTTCAGGAATCCAGTGAAATTCAAGAGGAGTACTGGCATTATCAGTTGTGATAGCAGTGCTCATTACAATTCCTGGTAAATTATAATTGTTGATACTTCCTGAATCAATTGTGGATGAAGTGCTTATAATTTTGTAATGAGGAAAGTTATAGGGCAACCAGATCCGATCACGAACATCATCACTGTACCTGAGAGAGACAACACAGACATTAAGAGCACATTTGGTAAAGTTCCCGTTTCTTGTTTTTGTTTCCTCTATCTAATAAAGAAAAATAGAATTGGATGCCCCCAACACCCATGGATTCAAGAATGATAAAACAATATCTTTATTTATATTTTGAAATAAATTAGAAACAGAAATAAGAAATAATAAACTTGTTTTTGTTATTTCTAAAATTTCTATACAATTTTGAGAATGTTTCTAAAAAACGAGAAACAAGAAAATAAATAGTTGTAAAATGCTTAAGCTTATTAAAAAAATTGAAAACGAGAAACAAGAAACGGGAACACCACTGAATGAACCCTAAATCACAAGCTATGATGACCACAGTCCTAAATCAACAAGTTTAAGTAACTTTTTCGTAAATGGCTTAGCTGACAGTTTTATTGGTAGTTGAACCTATATCCAGCCGTCTATGGAGTGCTAACAATTCGAAATTGGTCATGTAAGTAGCATTTTTCAAAAGCTTGAGCTCCAATGCTGATATAAAAGGTGAACCAAAGCCAGTATTCACCAGACATATGTTTATGGAAGATGTAGGAAGTGCATGTATGACTTCTTTGATTATGATACTGGATTCATTGTTCAATACTACTGAATCCCACTTATTAACTCCCATGTACAAATCAAAAGCCGGTGCTTTACCTTGGCCATCATAGTTTCCGTACATGAAACTCGCTCTGATCAAATACTTGTAACCTTTTCCTTGAGCAAGCTTTATGATGTAACAGTTCCTATCTCCTTCAGGAAAGCTTCTAACATACCAGAATTGCTGTGGAAGAGTGGTTGTGTTGAAATCAGATGATATGCTCTTATTTATACCAGTTTCCGTGAAGTATGCATCAGAAGTGTACTTTATGCCTGTTACTCTGTCTGTGTAGCTAGAATTCTTTGAAACTCCACAGTCAATGCTAATGAATCCTGAACAACAAATTACACAAAGAGAGAGCCGTAGTTAATAGTTATCAATCTTAGAGAGACATAGACTAACTTGAATATGCTATTTCTCCACATTGAAACATAACAACGAACCTGATTCCTCCTGTGCACTAACCAGAAATGAAATAGCTAAAGCAACACAGATCTGAATTAGAAGACAGTAATTTAACTGCTCCATCATCATTAGTCCTTAACTGGAATGAGAGAAGCTACAAATCACGTACTACTGTTCAACTCTTTTCGTTTGTGTTCATTTTTAGTGAGCAACATAGAAATCACCATGATATATCAAATAAAATAGCTTTCAATAATTTGTCAAAGCCATATGTAATGCATTTGACTTCATCCTTTTGAAAATCCATACTACGAGCTAGTTAAAGCCAAGTTGAATTATTTTAAAGACTAAGAATTCTTTGCAGCTGTCATAGTTGACAAAAAAATCTTTAATCCCTTGAAATGGGGTGGATGATTTAATTAATCCAAATCAAAATCATATTATTTTTTACTCTATTAAATTGCATGACATTTATTTAGATCACAAGAAAGCCAGAGATTAGAATAAACCTGCATTGTCAAATTGCGCAAGAATCTTGACCAACCAGGGAGAGAATTAGGGGAAGCACGAACTGGCACGCGGAGAGACAAATTAAAGAAACGGAAAGTCAGAAATAACGAAGGTTGTTGTGTAGATCATAGATGAAGAATCGGAGACAATAGTGTAATTGTTTAGAGCACAAATTGGTTGAAAATTCGAGAGGAATCTTTGGTAATTAGTGGAGTACTGATAATTTGGTACGAAAATCATCTCATCGCTGAAGTAGTAGAGAGAATCATACGCAACGCATGGAAGTATGCAGGGTTTTTGGCGCCAATAGCTTAGAATGGAATGAAAAATAATAAAATTGACCTTTATTTTCATAACCGTTACTTGTTATTTCTTGCAAACATTGGCGAAAACAAACGTTACTTGATCCTTCTTTTTTTTAAAAAAAAAAACATAGACATTTTATTTATTATTATTTTTTATTTGTTGTCTTTTATTCTCGGTAATTTTACATTAAAAAAGTTAACTAAGTATTATTTTTTTATATTTATTATGCGTTTTATTAGTTAATAAAATAAAATAATACTTTTATTTATATTTTGAAAAAAAAAATGAAAACGAAAGGTAATTGACTATTAATAAGTATTACACGCCAAGTGGGAACTCCATTTTCTTGACCTATTGTGAAATAGTTTAATAAATAACTTTAAATATTGTTATTTGAAATCGTAGTAGTAATTTCAAATTTGTTATCTTATATAAAATGAAAGATTTGAAATAATAAAAGGTTTAGTATTCTAAAAAATAATAACAATAATAAATAAGTAAAAAGGTTTAGTAATCTAAGCTTTTACCTGAATTTATTAATTTAAAATTTAAAGTACGATAAAATCAAATAAGTAATTTATTATAAAATTCGGAACAAAATTTGATGTAAAACATTACTACAAATCATTTATATTTGTTCGGATAACAAACAACATAATTCATTTGAAATCACTTCAAATATTCGATCAAACAAACATGCTATTGACCTGTTGGAACAATTTTTACTTCTCTATAAAATTAAAACTTATTTCATAGATCGATCTAGATTTGGTCAATCTCGATTAATTTTATTCTTTCACTTATCAGTTTTGGTTTTTTTTCTTAATTACTTGCCAGTTCTGGTTAAGCAAACAATCGAAAACTTTTTTCCTTCAAAATATATCCCTCCACATAAATAGACTAAATAATATCAATAATAATAAGATCATCAGATTTTATTAGGGGCGAGATGAATTCCCCGATTCAGTTCGGTTCAACCAATTTTGCGAGTCGGTACAAACCAGACTATGAAAATCTAAAAATGTATTTCTTCAGTTCGAGCTTGTTGTGTAGAAAATAATTTATCAAATTATGTGAAAATCTCAATTGAACCAGAAACCAACCTTATATATCTATCTGTGTTTAGAATGAATGGGAAAAGAAAACTATTGCACATCGGATCAGTTGATCAAAATTTCAATTTACTTTAGACTCTTAGACACAGTGAAATTAAGAATAAATGCTAAACTAATACTTTTTTTCATGCTGTAACTTGTAGAAGATCATAATAAAATACATCATAATATAACAAAAACTTCAAAATCTAGTTCATATGGGTTCAACGATGGCAAACATATCTTGAAAACTGTCACCGGAGAAAAAGTATAACAATAGTTGGAGGTTCAATATAGTTCAATGATAAAGCATCTATTACCAAACCATCCTATAAGCCCATAACAAATAGTTAGAGGTTCAATATAGCTCGATGAATAAAACATTTCCATCTCCAAGGTTGATGATTCGAGCTCCTTGAACTAAAAAATTGAGAAATTAGGCTCGTCTCTTCATGTCTTACAGCTTTAAATATAAGAGAAGACAAATAATACATTTCACACATAAAAGTGCATCAAAGGTTTACAAGTCAAAAACATTGACAATGGAAAAAGGCAAACACAGATCTCGAAAGCATGCTGATAACTGAAACTGATGATAATCAAGGAATATTATCGTGCTACGAAGGAAGATAATCATCATCAGTGAATAGTATTGTGCTAGAAAATATATAATCACATACCTTACCTGTACACGGGGAATTACCCCCTCCCTTTGAACAAAAATTTTGGTCGTGTATTGCACCACATTGGCCATTACAGTCAATCTCCTTCAGGTTCACCCCCCTCCCGAATGGCGAACGGCCTTTCAGTGTATGTAAGAGGTTATATGTCGATTAACAAGCTAAAGCTGTTTATAATGGCTCTTTAAACATGGCAAGTCTTGGCTTGGTAGTCGCAACCTTCATAAACCTCTAATCCTGGCTCCCCCAGTTGGTCTTCTCTAAAGCAAGCGCACCGTTTGCCCATCTTCCCCGTCAACGCAATTTCTAAAGGCCTTTGTACCAACCTCGGGAAGCCATCATCACACCAGACCTAAAGATAACAGAGCAAAGTCCAAAGATATGGTTAATAATAGAGAGAGCAGAAAAGATTAATCAGTACCAGAAGATTTCATTATATGATATAATGATGAAGGATACGACACTTTATATTCATTTCTTCAGTTGTCATCAAATATACCTTTCTATTAGGTTCCTAGATACTGTTTTTCTTTTAATAACTGGGGGTTGGAGCTTTGCTCCCCTATACCTTGGGGCACTCACGCCTACCCAAGGCCCGGACTCGGGAGACATCAAGAGTTTTTGGTATTAAACTCACCAGAAGATTTGAATTTATCCAAACTGAAACGATCCAATACAGATGTTCTTCAAAGAAAGCTCTCGGTTTTCTGTCTGCAGCCATCAATATGTATGTTTTGTCAAGAAAGCGGAGAGAATCTGATCCATATATTCTTCCAATGTCCTTATGCATTGCACTGTTGGTTCTTATTATTTAAAGAGTTCAATCTCTCCTAGGTTTTCAGCAACATAGCAGTGGATAATATCCTTCAACTACTCCTAGGCCCAATTCTATCTTCTCAAAGTAGCTTGCTGTGGTCAAATGGTGTCAAAGTCTTGCTCTAAGCTTTGGTATGAAAGAAATCTCAGAATTTTCAAGGATCGTCGCAAATCTCATTGGATCGTTTCAGTTTGGCTAAATTCAAATCTTCACTGTGGAGCTCTTTGTCACCTTTGTTCGAAAACTTTTCTCCCTCACTTATTTGTTACAATTGGGGAGCTTTTACTTCATCTCTTAATGTTTGAGCTTATCTTGTTTTTTCCATTTACTTGTAATTCTCTTTTCGAGTTTGTATCTTTGAACATTTTCATTCATTAATTCAATGAGAAGCTTGTTTCTTGTTCAAAAAAACATTGGCTAAGCACCAACTCAAATATTTTGTTAGAACATGTACCTCACCACCCTCTCCTTGACTCCATTTCGAATTACAACTTGGCAGTTTATCTTCCTCTTGCTTTTGTTTCTTCAAAAGTTGTGCACCTCTGGCAGCCTTTGCCTCAGCTCCCTTTAAATGTTTTGTGGGATTTCCTTGATCATCATAGTAAAGACCCACCAGCTTACCTACAAAACTGTTGTGGATGCCAAAGGCATTATCCTTCATCATTACTCCCATAATAGCATATCATTCTCAAATCCATCACCACCCAATGAATTAATTGAATTTTCAAACTTGAAAAAAACACATGACACTTACAACAATTGTCATTGCATATCATTTAAGATCATAGAAATTCAACTATTTAAAGGTTAATTTGCTTTGACATTTGCTTACGTGTAGGTTTTATGGTAGAAGCTCCGCCATTCAACAACACTCTTGACCTACAAGATTAGTTAGTACAAGAGTCAGCTATACAGAGTAATTAGATGGAATAATATACATAGACGAATTTAATGCTGCCATGCTGGACCCAATAATGCAATAAGAAAAAATGATCAAGACAGAGTTGTAGCCTTATATCAAAGAGGGGAGAGGAAGGTTTTGGAGGGGGAAAACTTCTACATAGCTAAAGAATGGAAGCACAAATAATAAGCAACAGCACCACACATAAGCAACAAGATTACCTCAGAATTTGACAAACCCCGCAAAGAATCAGTGAGTCCTTCCCCTATAACAATAACAAATGACAGAACTCAATCGATAGTCAATTTTGTAATAAGTAATAACGCATAAAAACCATTTTTCTTCGTACCCATTCCCACCCAACCTCTCTCTCCCCTTCCTCCCTCACCCTCCCATCCCCCGCGCCCAAGAAAATATACAATTATGTATTTCTTGTTGAGTACTAATAGTGAAATATGTCTACCATTATCACAGGTTCTCAATAAGAAGACATAATTATGATGATGACATTTTAGTACAAGAGATAATAGAGGATACACATCTTCAACCTAAAAAGACCTAATTTTAGGAACTCCATTCACAATGCAGTAAAGAAAAGCATTGGCTAGAAATTAATTCGAATTGACTCTCATAGAAATAAAAATCAAATTGACAGCCCAAAGAAAATAGCAGTTTCACTATATCTCTAACACTCAATGTCTGTACAAGGTGAACAAAATTATAACTAGGATTTGACAGAAGATACTTTTCAGCATCCCAACAAGTAATGATAAATACCTGTGAAGTTTCCGGAAACAAATGCACGAGAAGCATCTCTGCTTTCAGAAACAACCATGGAAAAGGAAAATATCAGTACATTGTAAGACTCAAAAAGAAAGGTGGCAATCAATTATCAAGGTCTCATTCAAAAGAAATCAAATAAAATAGGATCATAAGCAACTAGTAACATTTAAATTGAAAATTAATGTTTTATAAAAAGCTCCATGGTCGTAGTGGCAAATAATGAACAGAGAGAAAATAACTCAAGAAGATATTCTATAAGATTAGAAAAATACTAATTGGGAGATAACTCTTTTTCGCATCACTCTCCTTCTATGATTTATGCTAATTGGGGAGCTTTTATTAATTCTGTTATTTACATTTTTTGTTTTTCTTTTTTCACTCTTTCGGGAGTTTGTATCCTTGAACACTTGTATTATCTTTTCATTATTTCAACGAGAAGTTGTATCTTTGTTCAAAAAATAAGATTAGAAAAATACAGGTAAAGAAAAAGTAACATCACGAACCATTGATAGAACAAATGCTTCAATATAGCAATTTTAAAATGTATTCTAACAGATACCGAACCATTGCTACATAGTATAAGACATGAACATAAATGACACAGGAGATTAATAAGGAAAGTAGAGACCACAAACCTTCCAGAAAAGTGATTGTAACCTCCTCCCACACCATAGTGAGATTTTCCTTTCGTGACATCAAAGACTGATCTGAAAAAGATGGAAATATTAGAGGTACAAGGGATTGATTTCCATTAAATGAGCGCTTTACCAAATCATATTACAATTGGCATGCTGTTCTATAAGTTTCCAGGTTGAGGATGTTTTATACCAAGACCTTTTGTATCTATCTTATGCGGAATGTTAATCTATAATTTCAAAAGAACAATTACAAGAAGAAATTGGGATATGCAGCCAACTGGTCCAACGCTTCGGATTATCATAATTTTTTTCTCCATTTTCAACAAGTTCCCATAATTCATAATGATTAATTGGGGGATGTCAATATTTAAAACAAATTAAACTGAAAAATATGTATAAATATCTGGAGGGTGGGTTGAGACTGGGAGGCGGGGAGTACCCAAGAATTCCAAGAAGGATAGGTAATCCCTCGTCAGTTCCATTATACAGAGCTAGCTCATCAACTTTGAAGAGTTTCTACAAAAGCAAACAAGAACTTGAAATAGAAGTATAAAACTCTACCAACTTAAATTGATTACAAATTGAGATTTAAATCTATTCATCAACATGTTCGGTAGATTTAAATTATAGAAATTAAAGGAAAAGATAATTAAAAAAAGGATGCCAGCATCAGTCTGCGTGGCATGGAATGTGCAAAGAAACCGGGTCATTATTTCAGTTTACGAATTGATAATTCATCAACATGTTAATCTTGCACATGAACAAAGTAACAAACACTTCCAGAAGCAGCAACAGTGACTAAGGTTCATAAATTAATTCATTACTAATAACTCTACCATTCAACGGTTCTGCGAAGTGAAGTATTCACCCGAGATCACTACCATTCCGAGACTAGTCAATATAGGAAAGCTTGGAATTAGCTACATAATGAAGTGCCTTGGGTTGACAATTGGAAATCCACAAGTAAGTCCTTCCAGAAGTCAATTTTTTCACCAATGCCCACTTCCAGAGATAGGAAAACCGAAAACCTTCTTCAAATTCAGGCAATTAAATTCCAATGTTTAACAATAAACCTTCCTCCGTTCCATAGCTATGATTGACTGTCATCAAGAGCCCTTTTCATGCCACACCCACTTCAAAGCCAAGGTCACATGTCTTCTTCTAAGATTGCCCAGTCAAGACCACCTTCCTCCTGATGTACGGAAACATTACCCTAATTTTTTTGAACAAAGATACAACTTCTCATTGAAATAATGAAAAGATAATACAAGTGTTCAATGATACAAACTCCCGAAAGAGTGAAAAAAGAAAAATAAAAAATGTAAATAACAGAATTACACAAAATTAATAAAAGCTCCCCAATTAGCATAAATCATAGAAGGAGAGTGATGTGTAAAAGAGTCGACAAGAGAACACCAAAGTGAAGCTTTAAACTTAGCTGAATAGAAACTTTCGTCGTAAAGTCTTCGTTTTTCTTCAAATAATCTTGAATTCCTCTCGAACCACAATTCCGATAATAAGGCTTTGACAACATTTAACCATAAAAAACGAACTGAAGAGGAAAGATGAGGAAGCCCATGTAAAAGCTGATAAACATTGTCCCCGGACTTGAGATCAAAACACCAATCCACATTGAATTGATGCAATAACAGATTCCAACACTTGGAGGCATAGTAGCAATGAAAAAATAGATGGTCATGATCTTCCCCACTCTTTGTACAGAGACAACAAAAAGAGGGAAGTAGTGCAGCAGAAGGAGATTTCTTCTGAACAACATCAGCTGTATTCAACTTTCCTTTAGAGAGAATCCAGCAAAACACATTAAACCTTCTTGGGCTCTTGGTTTTCCATAAAGCAGCAAAGAATTCCTTGGGCATCGATGCATTTGAACCAAATTTTCTTAGTGAAGCAACTGTAAACAAATCAGAAGGTTCAAGACTCCAAAATCTACTATCTATTGGGAAACATTACCCTAATTGATGAGATGGTAACCTCCTTCCACCGTTTTACCTTCTAAATATTAAGTCTCCAATCTCTCTTACAGTCAATTTAACATTTCGAGAGGGGGGTTTATGAAAAAGTAGCCAAGGGACCCCTTCGGGAGAAATTAGAGTTGTCCCATTTATCAAGTACTAATCACAGGATCCCAAAAGTCCAAAGAGCAATAGAATAATTAACCATTATGCGGTAGCAGCAGAAAACAACACTGCAAGCACCAGTTCAAGGTGTTTAACCAAAGGCCACCTTTCCCTCTACTTCAAATTGTAACCAAATTGTGTGTGATCCTCTCCCGTTCAAGCTTTTGATTTTTATTCCACAGCATTAAGAATCATACCAAAACCTCGCCCATATGAGGACCAAAAGACCTAAACCGCCTGATAATCATAAAACAGAGCTCCGCCTCTGTCTACTTCTGGGAAAATAACAAATAACAGAGAGAAAGAAATGCCTCTTGGCTGCCGAAACTAAAATGAAAGCACAATTAACAAGCATTTGATAGATAAAAAGGCCTCAAAACCAAAACCTCCAGGATATATAATACATTATCAAACGAATTTCTTTAAAAAGAAGCTCGAACCTGTCCAGGGGAGGAGGTGAAGGAGATCGGAAATGGAAATGGAAACTTGAAGGAAGGACCGATGAAAAGCGCAACAAGAACCACCATAACTGCGAAAACAAAAATGAAGGAGGTCGCCGTGCCCAGGATCTTCCCCGCCATCTCTTCTCTTCGCCCTTCACGGAGCTCGGCCTCGCGTCTTCGCTCGGTCTTTGCAGTGAAACTGATAGATCACTGGCCCCGGTACCAAAGTTGTCTTCTTCGCGGTTTTTTTTTTCCTTCGTTTTTTTCCCCTAGTCTTCGCGGTCATCAAATCTATTTCATATAATTTTTAAATTAAATTACTTAATTTTTTTAGTGCAGCTTAAACAATATTGTATATTAACTTTAATTAATAAATTAAGATTAAAATTTTATATTTAATTCAAATTGACATATATCTTCATAGTATGATTTCGATCGTACTAAAAAAATCAAATTATTTTATTCTAAATAAGATAAATAATTAAAAATCATTTCACAAATTTAAAATTACTTTTTTAACTTTCGTCTACGTCAAATGGAAGATTATGTTGAAAATTTTGAAGCATTTGAATACATAGTTGTTTAAATTTTAAATTATTGTAATTAGAATGTCTTAATTTACTCAATCAACTTTAAATCTATACTTTTCAACCATACATGTCATTCTTATGTTAAAAAATTTATAATGTGATATCCACTCAAAAATTATACTATGTTACAGGTAAATTAATATAGAAACGTGTGTAACTACACTTGTTACTTATTTAAAACAAATAAATAAATAAATGTCATGGCAGCTGTCACATTCTTAACTTCAACTAATTTTTAAATGGTAAATCCAAACGTACTTACTTGCATTATTGAAGTTTTAATTTTCTATTGAAGTTTTAATTTTCCACCCACATATTTTGTTACTGTGCTGAAAATTAAAATAAAAATTAGATTTAAATACTATTTCAATTCATATACTTTAGAAGTTGATTCATTTTGATTTCTATACTTTCAAATCATTTATTTTGGTCCCTATTTTTTCAACTGTAGTTCATTTCGGTCCATATATGTTCATAAGTGTTGGACCTTGTATATTTAAAAAATAATCATTTTTATCCTTTCATTCTCATTTCTTTCAATAACAATTTTAGCTTAACATCTCACTCACCAAAGTTCTTGACATGTAGTCATAAATGTATATTAAATGATTTTCATTGTGTACGCAATTTATGTTGAAATTTCGTAAATAGTAATCAAAAGGGTCACTTTTAAAAGTACAAGAACTAAGATGAAGAATGTACAAGATCAATATGACCCAAAGTCGAAAGTACGATGAGCAAAACAGTATTTAAACCTAAAAATTATATACGTTTAAGAAAAAAAATCAGTAAAAGCAAGCATTAAAAGAAAGTTTACCAGAATTTGATCGGTTTAGTCATGCTCACGCAAGCAGGCTAACTGGCTAAGTGACCAAATTTTACAAGCAGCTTATAGAATACTCTAAGCACAAACTTACATGTCACGTCACCAAATATCGTCATAGACATGTGACTATACACAATGCACAACCAAAATTCTTACATATCTCGAAAACAAAATCTTACCTCAATTAAAAGATGATCACATTCTAATTTTATTTCTTTCTCTTTTTCCTCTTGACAGGAACAAACACTCCTGACCTGACACAAGGCACCTGAGATCTGCCCTCACAAACCAAACGCAGAGCCTCGACTTCAATGAGCTCTTCTCTTCATTCTTCAACATCTTCATCGACTGCAAGTCGAGTCGACTCGTTCAATCGTCTACAAAAGAATACATGTACAACTCTCTACTGAATATCGCTTTCAAATGCATTATGATTTAGATACCATCTGACAACTCCTGATTCTGGACAGTAATTACAAGCTCTGTCGAACAAATGGTCCAATCACTTGGCCGCATCAGGTTGTAAATGGCTGTGGATTCGGCTAAAAGCAATAAAATGAAACCGAGTTGTGAAAATAAGGTTTGAAATTGTAATTCTAGTAATTCTAGACTCTCATTTCAATGGTTCAATGGTTTCACAATAGGGAATTCATATAAACCCATTAAATTTCTCTGTACACCATCATTATTCAATAATGTATAAAGTGACTACAATCAGAACTAAAATGGATGCAAATAGACTGATATGATTTAAGTTAATAGTTTAAGGCATTAGTAAGTCGAGAGTAGAATCTCCATAAAAAAAAAGGAACCTCTTTTATACGACATTGGACTGGGGTGTCAAACCCCAGCCTTTGGAGATCACTTCTCTCCCTATTTTGTATGTTTCCCTATTATTTTCAATGAAAAAGGGAGGAAAAGAAAAACCCAAACGTTTTTATGGTCCCAAACAGGCACTAACCTTTGGCACCTCAGTGAGCTGTTGTCTCTGAATCGGTGTTGTTCCTCACTGAGCGGTGACTTTCTTGTGACTCCATATTTAGATGTTGCTGCTGGGAATGCCGCTGATGGCGTTCTTCCTGCAACCGCTGCTCATGCTGTTGATGGGAGTGATCGTTGTGTGGCTGCTGCTGTACTTCCGGCCGACTCCTTACATTCATCTGTTGATCGGCCGATCTCAATTGCCTGCCTCTTCTCCATTTAAGATACTCTACAAGAAGCGAGTTTATGCCGATAGCAAGCCCGAATCCGGTGAGTGCAGAAAGGAAAACCGCGAGAATGGCATTCACATTAAGCTGCATATTGAAAGAAGATGAGAGTACTATAGCCGATGATCAAGAGCATTTAAAATATTGAGACAAAAAAGTGGAGAAAGAGATGGTAAATAGTGCTGCTTACGATTGCATAAAATACATGAGCAAAGAGGATGACTATGGCGAACTGGAAACAGGCATAAGCCCAAATGTAACCCCTGCTCACTGCCACCATCCAGTATCAAAATGGTTATCAAGGCGATGATGGTACAAAAAAGAGCAAAAGCTTTTTCAATCTAAGCAAGAATGAAAGACCATGTAAAAAGGCTACCACACGTGGCATGAGATCTGATGAGAGAAAAATTAACCCAATAACCTAGGAAATTTCCCTATCACCAATCTAATTACATTCATTTCCCTTTTTTTTTCTTTTTATTATTGTATAACAAACACATGTTCTTGTCAAGCAGTCATTTATCATGTATCAACACTGGTCAAATATTAATCAAAAAGTAAGAGGTTAACCATGCATACAAGGCTAGCTAGGTAAATTCCAGAGGGTCCATTTCTCTTCCCTATTGTTACTTCTCGAAAAATCCATCTTAAGTCTTAACCCACGCCTACATCATTCCTAAGTAGGGCCTATCCTAACGAACTTTTAGAGGTCACATTTTTCTTTTTACCCTCGCTCTCATCAACTCTCACTATTGGAGCCTAACACATACCCCAATTAATAAAGTCATAAGCAGGAGGAAATTACAAGAATCCAGAGTGTTGTTTCTGTATAACTGTCTCGTTTCAAATGGTTCATTTGTTGTCAGTTTTGGAGCTTAAAATTTAGGTGTTTACATATTCCATAAAATCTACCTCACTCCGTACTTTCTTTTCCTTCTTGTAAAAACCTCATGCCACACATCTCCATAGTCCTTTCACTATTTAATATCTTTTCTTTTTTTAATGGAAACACAATTGTTAAATCAAAAGCTACGAAGAAGTTGCACTGATATACAGATTTATTTAATGAAAAAAAAAACAAGATTTAAGCAATGGGATTAAATTATAATTTACTCTTATCCAATGATGAATATTGGCACAAGATGATATATTTATTCAGAAGAACAACTGACCCATTGTGGAAGAAACCATGGATGAAAGGAGACCCAAAGCACATGAAAAGGGAAAGGAAATGGCAAGTGCACGAGGACCCATGTCAGGTACCTGTTCATACAGAATTAGATAGTAGAAATAACTGACAAAAATGCAAGTCTAATTGATGTTTTCACAATTTATTTGAATATTAGAAACATTCTAACCACCTATAACTATAAGTAGCACGAATAAGTATAATACATCCATACCAAAAGTTGCTCCAAAAAGCAGAAATATGCAAGCATGCTAACCAACCCAAGCACTGACATATCCTGCCAAACCCTATGAGAACGAAAGAAAGTGAGATATTGATGCCATTTCATTTCCCTGTAATGATGCTAACAAAGGAATGCTACTAGAGATAGAAAATTAAACAACTTGTTTAAAAATAAAAAGAAAAGTGGAGTAATTTGGGACTCCAACTAAAATAAATACCAAAATGAATGTTTACACAGCATGCATTTCGGAGACCAAAATTTCCAGATTGTCTCTCAGCTGATGATTAGAATTTATTCTCAGACATTTTTCATAAAAACCAAACCAGGAAATAGATGATTATGTTATCACAATCATTTTTTAAAAGCCTTCTTTCCCCTTCACATACTACATGATAAAGCCACCATCTTACAATTCTATGCTTATGGAACTCATTGCTTTGGGCACATATATTTCAAAAATTCGCTGAGTAATCAAACTTCAAAAAACATCCTCGTACACACATGACACAGGTAGCAGACAGATGCATCAAAAGATTGTGCTTCCAGTTTTTTCACATCATCGTCTTTTGTTACTAAAGTTCAAATTCTATGTAATATCCTTCTAAATGTTTCCTCCATCATATGTCTAACAAACTTTGTTCCCATCTCCCTATATATGCCTATATATGCCTTTGATTCCTCAAACTTCTTTTTCCTACCTAACTGTATTTTTCACTTCTCCATGAACTTTATATCAAAAACACCTTTTTTTCTTATAATAAATTAAACACACTGATTTAAATTGATAAAAATGACTCTGAAATCAACCGTTCAAGTCCCTTCCTTCCTTAACAAATCTCAAGAATCTAGTTAAGAGTAGTTCAAGTGACGAGACATTACCTTCAAGTCAAAATAAAAGAAAAATTATGCCACAGTATCGGAAACCAAATTACCTATAACGATTGGCTTCCCTCTGCTGTGATGTTATTGGGGGCCGTCTCTGCTGTGATGTTACTGGGGGCCGTCTAGTAACAGGGCATGTGTTATGTAATTTTAACAAAGTCACTGGCAAGTTTTCAACATCCCGCTTGCAAATATCGCAGATCTTGTTACCTTTAATGCTGAACCACTTAATTGCACACTCTTTGTGAGCGAGAGCTAGGTCTCCTTTGCAACTGCATTCCAGTTTAAAAGTATCACCACCTTCCACCAACTCTATAAGACAGATCCTGCATACTGCCTCATCTTCAGGTATATCATCACCAGCAGCTTCACTTTCTAAGGGTAAAATCCAACTTCAGCATATCAATTTAAAAACTATGATCATCAAACTGCAAACATAATTGTCAATAGGAGAACAGGAAACCCAAGAAGACACCAGCAATATGTCAGATGTTTTGCTTCTTGGAAATATTTGCAGTGAAGCAAACTAATAATAACAAAGTACGTGGAAAGAATGCAGTTGAACATCAGACATTTA